TCATACGGTTGGGAATAAACACTGAAAGGCCATTTGTGCTTCTTCAAAAATTGGCACTCTGGTATACCTTGTAAGGCACTCGTTCTTTTGCATGACGGAGTTCTCAGAACAGTGCGAAACTCGAATTTAGTTAATAATCTGTTTAAGTAGACCGAATTTGATAGGACTCAGTGGAGACATAGGAAACATTCAGGATACCAGAGTCCGCATCTATGTCATTCACAGGCTGGTTCGCAAGAAGCAATCCTTATTTCTACTAGATTTCTCTCGAGCAGTCCATAATATTGTTGGCTGAATCAATTCGCCAAGACGGAACGTCCTAAAATCTGGAAATTCATTAAGAATTCGAAAAATCCTAGAGATTTGAGTGAGTCTGAACAACAGAAGTTTGAGTGCACGTGCAAACAGACCGATCGATTTTGAATTGCACGAAGTCTGGTTAACTAAGTTGAACTTGCATTTCAGATCTTTCTAACTCAACTGTAGCACCGGTGATTTGAGTTGTTCCGGATAGATAGTACTCGCGAGTCCCTTTCAGTAGTATGCATCGTTAGGCTAATACCTCAACTGTTGACGCGAATACCAGTGATGGTAAACAGCTATCGTGCAAAAGTAGCGATTTTTATAAAAGTCTGTGGAGTGTATCCCAAGCAATATGGTGTACTAGTGTTTGTTGTGAAGGAAAACGCCCCATGTATGCCTTTTCTCATAGTGGTGAAAAGATTTCTCTCTTCTGAAACAGATTCCGGACAATGATTATTCGCTCCACTTTATGGAGTATTCACTTACTGACTTACATTACTTCACCTTGGCTATCCGTGCGTATGCACGATTCCGTATATTGGCACGTGTGGAGTATTCTATAACGAATCTAATGACCCTTAGCCTATCATGATAGGATAGAATATCTACATCATTGAGAGTTTATTCACGTGTACTGTATTTTCTAGTAGTTTATGTCCTGTAATCGTGTTACCAGTGAAAATGACTTGTCTTTTCGCATCCGAGTACACTGAAGTAGTTTGACAGCCACCAGTTTTGCCTACAATCCTGGAAAACTACTTGCAGAGGGAAAGAAAACGCTGCAAAGAAACACTTGGTATGAGAAGCCACACGCACTTATCAGGTTCGCTTCAAACGAAGCTATTTTTTACAGAGCTGGGATTACGGTGAAGTGCGCGTGTGTTCGCATGTATGCGTGCGCGAGTTTGTCTGTTAGGATGACAACTATGCTTGAGCAGAACAGAAACGGGCATGCGACCGTCAGCCTGGCAAGGTCTCTGAAATGAATGTGGGACCGGGTTTAGTGGGATATACGAATGTCAAAACAACAAAGTTGGTCAGGACACGCACTTTGATTGTTGATGTAGATATTATATAGATACTGAGAAAGTCAGCCGAAGAAACAAATAAACCCAAAGCACGACTACTATGCAGAGTTTTGCGCATCATCTCGTCGATGCTTATTTAGCCTTATAAAACATTTTCCCCCAACTTCTGCAGCCTTAATGATCTCTCTTACAGGATGAGGTCAATCTCCCATAGAGTTGATAAAGGCTTTTCCAGATAGTAATGTTTAGGTCTGAACCCCTTTCTCCTCCAAGTAAAAAAGACAGGCAACTGCTATGAGAAGTCAAAATGCTCGTCTACTGGAAGTGCAAAGGCGCAAGAGTAGTTCAAGCTAAGCTTTTAGTAAAGAGCGGCTCTAGGTATTTTGCCAGGCCATGAGGCTGTAAGGTGATGAGGTCGTAGACACATAAGGTCGCTGAACGCATGACGAAGGCTGAGTGTCATTCACCTTTCTTACCAAGGATAGCTGTTGTGGAAAAGTTGCACAGGAGGATATCTGGCTGATAAAAACCACGTATAGTAAGGTTATTTTTTGCTAACGGTAGCCCAGAACTGAAATTCATGCTCAATAATACAGTTCGATTGAGAATCCGACAAAGGATGCACGCAATTCCGTGAGTGATACATAGTACAGAATTCAAATGAAGTTTGATTGACATGTGCTGCACTTTTCGGCAAAAGGTAACATCAGCTGGCGGAAGTGAGTTTCAGACAATGAGCATCTGGAACCATTCACAGATGATGTGCTGTGATCTTTTAGTAGACAATGTGATCTATAAGACAGTGGTCTGCACTAATCCCGTCTAACATACTGTCCTACTTTCTGTCGCTTAAGAACAAACGGGAACTCAGTTCAACAGTGAAAGTTTCTCGATACCAGACTCGGAAGAGAAGAATGCTTCAACGGCGAAACAGACGGTGCTATCTGTGAGTTTTGCATAAAAATGAATCGGGAAGTCCAAGTGAGTTGCACTCAGCCAAACCAGAGAACTGTTGTAACTTAGTAGCTCCTGGAAAAGTTGGGGGAAACCCAAATCTTCCAGCGACATACATAATATTCAATGTGGATTTAGGAATGTTTGCAACCAATAGGACCACAGGCTCAGGTTTATTACGCCTCGCAGTCTCGTGGAATCAGCGCCGTATGGCTATATTCTGACTTAGAAAGATCAAACGGACCCTTTTCTTGATTGGTCACACTACTAGATTCCACATCGTATGAAGCATTCTTTAGGGTGACGTTACATCACCTATATGAATCGAGTGCCTTGTCAATACCACCTGCTTAAGCGGACTTCTGGAGAACGACGGAACGATTTGCTCACAAGGATGTGGAACTACACGGAACCAAATCGGTACATACTCTAAGTCGGGGATATACTGTTTTCGGCTGCAAATATTTCACACGTAAGTTCAAACATACGAATAAGCCGGTGTCACAGACCAAACACGGAAAATATGACATGTGCTAGGTCAAAGGTTGTACAACAGCCAAATAACCAAATTATGCCCGAGCATTGCATTGGATGCGGACAAAACTAGGCCTGTTCGGTAGAAGGTTGACAAACATTTTCGAGGCACATGATTTGGAGACAACAAGACGAATAAGGATAACCTTAGGAGTCGTGAGGTTACGCAATTTGACCACTTTGGATTGGTTATGTTGAACTCGATAAGTAGTCGAAATGCTGCAGTATGATTGGCTACACGCCCCTGGTTAAATAGACCTCAAAATGTGATCTGAATAAGGCACTAAGATAGATAAATAGAGGGTAGAGTACCTAAACTGTGATGTTCGACTTCGGTGTCAAATTAAAAGAATGAATGTCACTTTATATGAAGTTTGGCGGTACGATGCCAGTACGATGTACACTTTCCATGCATTCCGGGCATGAGGTCACATTGAAAAGAAAATGACCTTTAGGCTTCATCGGCATCGTTCCACAGACGGCCAATTAGGTAGTGGTACGCTCTTCTTCGGGGGAGAGGGAAACACAAACAAACAACACACACTTTTCGCTATCTATTTAAAATATTTGGTCCAGTTGGTCAAATCCTCTAAATTAGGCAACTGTCAGTAATAACCCGTGGCCATTTAGTTTCGCGTTAGCACCCGCAGGAAGACAACGTATCGATAGAATGAAAACTACATTTTTCTAGTCATTTAGCGGAAGCCATTCTACGGGAAAAACCCCCTATCTCATATTTACTCGAGTGTCCTGTGTTCGGCATCTGCCGATGCGACCATGGCTGCAGAACAGATTGAACTACTTATAGGGAATAAGTAGCGCGTTGAAAATGAGGCCACAGCCTAGAGGCGACCTGCGTGCGCTCCAGAGGCGAGCAATTTAGACCAGCATTCTACTAGGCGATGAAGATTGAACATTTGACCAGTCTGTTGTTAAATACCTTGCAGGCCACCAATAGCATTGCACGTTGACCTGACCTTGACTTAGCAATGCATCGCAAGATGTCAGGAAGCGCCCAGAACTGCGCGTCCCCAAAGTCAGCATCGGTACCACACGAGCTGGATAGCATGGGCGTTGACGGAGCTTACCAAACACGACTTAGCAGCATGCGACCATCAGAGTGGGTGTGAAGTCGTTCATGGCAGGAACGTCGTGAGTAGCTGGACAGAACGAACAAGCGAACGACCATAATTGCCCACTTGACCATCCTACATATTTACACAGAAGTTCTGTATGTTTGTTCGGACAATACAGCTATGTCCCGGGTTCTCTGTCTTCTGTCTGGAAGGCTCAGTTCCGTCGTAACCAACAGACGACCACTCACGATATAACGCAAGATCCAGTGAAACATTTGTTGACAAAACCGTTCACGCACATAGTGATCAGTTTTTGCGCTCATACTGAGAAGGCAAGCACATGAATCACGGACCTGACATACCAAGTGACGTCGTAGAGACACAAAAGACGAAACCGCAGACAGTTTCTTTTGAGACAGTCATGCGCCCCAAAGAGAGTTGAGGCGGCTAGATACGCAAAACAAACAAATGAAGTCAAGCAGAAAATTCGCACTAAATGCTCGAAAGGATTCCATTGTTTCCATAAATACTTTGTCAGTGTGCTCAACGACAAACGAGCACATCAGAGACACAACGGAGAAGTACAGATGAAGTTAGTTCTTTCTCACAGCACTTTAAATAAACTGGATGAACAAATAGCGTTCGCTTGTTTTCGATTCATCAAATAACGAAGTTAGTGTTGTGAATCTAGTCTGGACGGTAAAGCATAAGGAGAGTTTCTTTTTCGGGGACGAAATATATACGCTTCTGTGGTGGAGGAAAATGCTGAGCTAAACTTCCGAACGCACGTGCGATTTCCACAGATGCATCTACGAACTGTTAAAATGAATTTGCCAAGAGAGAAGCCGAGAATCGAAGCCAGTAGAAAAGAAATTGCAGAATCCTTCGTCGGCCCATGCGACGCTCGTTACCATTCGGGTGTGACCCTGAAAACAAGGGGCGAGTGAATAGTGATATAAGATATGGATACTGTTGTAACCATAGTAAGTCATAACAATGATACATATATATATATATATATATATATATATATATGAATAGTGAACAGTCATATTGCAATANACACACACAGAAAAGGACTAAGAAACTAAGGAAACATGCTTACCCGAGAGGATCGGGTCAACCGGCCAATACGATTGCCGTTCAAGTCGAAAAACTTGATCATTCGGTTGTCCAAAGGAAGGGCGAGGATACGCCGGTACCCTGTTGCCCAGATGGAGCAGTTTGCTGGTGGCGGTGCCGATCCAGATCCATGAGTCACCGCAGGGAACAAAGCAGATGACTGATTGTTCGCAGCAGTGGCAAGTGTTGTTCCCGTAAACGTACAAGGCATGGAAGCTGTTGGCTCGTTTGGAGTAGGAACTGCAGTTGGAACTGAAGTTACAGTAGCCGAGGACGCCTCCGATCCAGAATCCCCGGAAATAATACTCGCATTCAGGGCATTACCAGAAATGGCAAGGCGGTTGATACCAGAATCTGTTCGGATGGTCACTAGAGGGCCTCGACTTTGACGTAGATCCCATATGCGACACAGTCGGTCTCCCCCTGCACTGATTAGACGCTCGTTCGCTCCGCCAGGCAAAAACTGTGTGGTCGAAAGCGTGCTGCACAAAAGGAGGATGCTCGAAAAATAATATCTAAAAAGTCGGCCCTGTATGATAGAACAAACATCATTAACTTAACCTAGTAGGAACATAAAAGAACAGGACAAGGTGGACTATGAACTCAGCAGTTTGGGCGTGTAGACACAAGATATAAAGTCTAAAGAGAGTTTCTGATCCCGGTGCCCAGCCGACTTAGAACAAGCGGTTACCGAAAAACAATTATTCACCAGAAACGGACAAGGCCAGTCAACAAAATGCCCCGTTGAAAAAAAACAAGAGTCCACTGGATATCTGATGCAGTTGACGTCGACGATGTAGCGAACGTCAGTTTAAGTGCGTGACTTCAGCTCCATCCAGTAAGGTCCATCGTCTGAGTAGCAAACTGAGGAAGAGGCACCATACATAAACGTTCATCGGATGTAGAGACAGTAGACTTGAACCATAACCACCAAACGGTAAAGATGTGACCAAAAAACGTCCGCCATGCGGACAGGTTACATATCCAAGAAATACAGGACCAGCTGTCGCCTACTGAACAACAGTGATTTGGCGCTAAGACAAAGGCGTGTAAGGCAACAGAATTGTAATGATAAACGTCATCAGAGGAACCCAGTCTGCTAGGCACAAAAGCATCACGCTGGTGGAAGCAAAACAACCCAAACGCTGAGGCATACTAACCTCGAGAGGAAAATTAACTTACAGTGTGTGTGCCTGTTGGACATGCACTCGCATTCCAGGCTGACGGAAATCCCATAATCGGAAAGTGCAATCTTTGGAAGAGGTCACAACTAATGGCGCACCCCCGAGAGCGCAACGCACATCTGTCAGTTGGTGATCATGTCCAGTAAGAGAGCTGACTTCCTGACCAGTTGCTAAATCATAGATGCGACCCAGACGATCCCAACCGGCTGTAACTATCTGATCACGTCCGGTCAGAAACTCAGCTGCAGCTAACGGCGAGGAGTCGATTGCCGGACCCCCACCGGCAGCCGTTTGACCACCGGGTGAGCACAAGTTGGCCGACTGGAACACGGCATGAGGATGTCGGACGTAGATAGGAGCAACGGGAATGGGTGCCACAGCGGAGCGAATCGGAGAACCTACATGAAATGTGGAAACGAAACCGAAGGTTGTTCACATCCAACGACGACTGTAGAAAAGTATGCTTCCCGACCTGCTATTCAAGGGTGAGACTGCGACTGAGGTACAAATAAGAAGACTATACTATCCCTGCAAAGTAGTCACCCGAAAGTCTGTATTGTTCATATTCATGGTTGTTTACTCCTTCAGGTACGTCTGTGGCGCTTCTTACGTGGGTCGTACAACCCGTCATATTGCCATTCACATCGTCCAAAGTGGTGTGACCTTTAGGTTAAATACCGACCGATGATTTGATTCGGCTGAGGAGTGCGTTAGTATACGGCGCTAACACAACCATACTCTTCGAGATTGTTCAACATTTATAGTTGAAATCCCCAAAAGAACCCTATCATCGTCGTTCAGCAAAAAATAAGGAAACCAACACTCGCTAAGATATATGGAAATGGATTATATATATATATNTATATATATGGTTTATATATCTGTCTTTCTAAGCCTGAGTAAACACACTATGGAAAGCAAAGCTATTCCGGTCAAGAGAAACCATTTGGCGGAACTGCCAAAATCGGTCCCTTCTGGAAGGTCCCACCAGAGATGACGAATGCGTTCGCATGGAAGCACCAAAACTGAGACTGGGACGAATGTTGAGACCTGCTGATTTGACACCAACCAAGGGTTAGGACCAACGCTCTAAACGACAAGTGTTTGCCACATATTTCAGTCATTCATTTTCACATAAACAAATGACACGTGAATTTCATTGGTGAACCGAGAAGCCTATTTGAAGAACACGAGACTGTACCATAAGCGTGGTGATCATGAGACTTATCACCATCCACCTGACTTAATAGAATTTAACTGCAAAAACGAAGAAGCCTACAGGAAATAACCATGATTTCAGTAAATGTAGCTTACCATCTTCGAATACCTCATGGGGGGCTGATGCGCTGAATATTCCGTCATCCGAGTCCGTCGCATGGTGGGATCCAGGATGTGCACCTGAGGAAGAATAAAAGCGCGAATTAGATCTGCAGTGCTGTCAGCTCAGTTTATCGTGAGCAAGTTGATACATAACGACAATACAAGAACAATGAACCAGGGACGTGTGCCAATCAGATTCTTATAATTTTCAACCGTCTGGCAGGAGGTATACGTTACACGAGTAGCAGGGTAGCGTAAATATTTTGTACGCAGATGCACCTGGATACTTTGAAAGCTCCTCCCCGAACCCTCTCATGTTAGCCAACGGCAACTAGGAAGCAGGCGTCTACCAACCACTTGTTAGGCTGTCCAGTATTGCCATAGACGGCAGACTACACTGACAGTCGTGAGCTGAGGAGCGAAATTTACCACAGCATTGTTTTTCATAAAGGAAACTACTCACAAGGTTGCCGAAAACTCTTCGACAGTCCACGACCGGTTTCGCCCTTCTTGGGACTCATCAGGTAGGCACAGTCCCCGAGTTTCTGTCAACCTTATGATCTACTTGAACCCGAATTGGACTGTTTTCGAGAAATATACTCATTTGCAAATCAATTTGGTTTTCACGAGACTCAACTGAATCTCTCGTTTATGATATTCTACAACTGAATGTGCTGCACACAGGCCGCAGTATTATTGTTCATTGTGTTGATTCCTCGCTATTGGGAAAACCACCCTTACGCAAATCAAGCATATCACCTGAACCCCGTGGAATCATGGTTTGAGGTTTTAGTCAAATGCGACTGTTGCAACACATTGTCCTATTAGTAATGCAGCATTTCGATGATAAATCCCGGGCAGGTGGAAGCGTCTTTTGCAGTGCCGAAACACGTACCAGCATGACACGAAATAAGTGAACAAAATCGTCAAGGGATTCAAACACCGCATGGACCGGACCAAAAAGTAAGTATTTCCCCTCGGATTCTTCTTTGAAATCCTTGAATTTCCCTCTGGAATGTGGAATTAACTCCGGCTGAGGACCGCTAGCACAGGCAGACAGTTTGTGTGGCATTAGTTGAACCCTTGAACTCTTGCGTCAAAAACATTTAAGTGCTTATCAGGGTAAGTTGACTGGGCAGCGGACCATGGACCGTACTCAAAGCAACAAAGTTGAAATGAACCACCTTTCAAGGTATGGGTATTTTGACCACCCATGAAGAGTATACATATCATTCACTTTAGATTAAATGTCCAAATAGGGTCAGTCACTGAAGGTAATTCGGTGATAGTTGAACAGGACAAAAACGGTGGTCATCTGCCGGGGACTTTCATTAACTGGTAACTTACTAATGAAATAGACAAATAAGTTTTCTTACACAAACCTGCTCCTGGACCCATAGGCATTCCAGTTGAACCAGCAACCTCGGTTACCAAGGTGGATGTGGCGGCCTCCAAGGCAGTAGCAACACCAGTGGATGATCCAGATGCCATTGCAGCCGCAGCTTTTACGAGGTGATCATACGGGAGTCTAATCAAATGAGCTATTCCTTCGCCGCTTGAAGTTAAAAGCAAGTGATCCCGGTTTCGGAATCGCACAGAATTGATCGAACCATTGTGTCCGAGATAGACAAGTAGACAACTATGATGTGAAATACGGACAGAGATCGAACATTGAATAGCTTGTCGAGACAAAAGTTATAATCATACTTACATATCACGGTGCATTGGCTGGAGTTAAGGTGGCCTTGTTGCTTAATACACCTACACCTCGGAAACAAACATATGTGGATGAAAGACACTGCATTGGGAGAAGGTAGTCATAAATTTTATCCCCTGATGCCCACGTTACTGCTGGTTGGTCACGGGAATGACGACCGCCTCCGTATCCGACTTATGCAGGATGATAAGTGCCGCTGGATGGCTCACCAATGGATGCTTCAAAGTATCAACAGAAAATGTACTATACCCAGAAGTTATCCACACCTCGATAACACAAGGAACTTGTAATCACCTTGCAGGTAAGTATTCCCTTCAAGGGAACTTCCACCCGTCCAAGAGGTAGCCACCCGCTGAGAAGACACTCCCGAGGGTGTAATGCACTAGTGAGGTCGGTCAAGACTAGGGACAGCCAGGGTTCGTCAAGTGTCCGAATGTGGAAAGCTGAAAGATCGGAAATGTGAACTGCTAGCGCACCGAAGGTAAGTGTCCATCTAGGGGGGGGGGGGGTAAACACTGATGCCAAAGCACCAACCGCGAGAAGAAAAACTAGCTCCGGTGGATTGGGCAAATGAGATAAACTCCCTAATCCAATGGCCATGATAGCGTTGCTGGCCACTAGTGCTCTGCATTCCTCCGCTGCCCTGTGAGGTGTACTCGGTTGTGCAAAGACTAGAGACACACCCTCGATCAGAATCTGTAACGAATCCTCATCGAACTTCAGTAGCAATACCTCTGACAGCTAACTATGTTCTTTCAACGGTGTCCTCAGCAAGTGATGCATTCTTTGCTGTACCAGTGGCTGTAGTGATCCGAAAGCAAGCTGGGGCTCTCAATGTAGGAAAGGAACTCCTCAATACTTGTTGGAATATCTACTTAGAGATGCCAACCAGTATCCGCATGTGTAGTGTTCAGGACCACCTAACAGATATCCGCTGTCTTTCGAAGACTCTGGTACACGACAAATTCAGATCCTTGGATCAGATGCTCCTTATTGACTCTATAACAAGGGACCAGTACACAATTCGGACACCCACTGTGTTGCAAGTGCCGAAAGTAATCGTGAAATCCAGTATTCCAAAAGCTTATGATGGTTCGCTTTGCAAACACCCCGGTAAACTTGACTGTGATAGCCATTTATGCAGACCCATCCATAAAGGACCAGTCCTAGGAAGCAACCACAACAGGCTGTCAACAAGAAATCGCGTTACTGGGAGATTTGAGCTGGACGAGACAACAGCGCGCACGACACACTCGGCTGGTTTAAATTGGGTCAGCGCCGTGGGTCGGGCTCAGGAAAAGTTCGTTAGAAATACCCTTCTCCAGAGAATACTTACTGATTTAGTACTCAAGAAACGCCCCTAATAGAATGTGTCCTCGTATGTACACGGTGGACCTCACCAAATGAAGATTGTATATGTTACAGAGGTACAGAATCTAATGCAAGATGTACAAATCACATGCCTGTTCGACCCAGGAATAAACTCCACCTCAATGATAGACGAAAGAAGCGTCTATACAATAAACCGCTGCACCAAAGCCATGAGCAACGACATCGCGAGGACTAGGTATCTGAGGGAACCGTTTCCTTACCAAAAGATTTGTTGGTTGCACGTATAATCAGACTGATTGAGGTTCGAAAGCTACAAAACAATGCCACTAATGCCAGGAAAGATTACATGGCACCAGAGGTGCAGTCCGCTTACAAATTTGACTTTGTTCAGAGCCTAATAGGCATGGCTTCAGGAGAACTTCCGTTTCAACAGTATTCACTAAGCGGAACAGATAGAGAGCAACAACCATGGCAATAGGACGTACCGATAGACGGAATAATTCAAACCACTTGGAAACCGAAACTCGGGATTAAGAGATCAATCCAGTCTCAACGGCATATCGAATCAAGTGTTAACAGTCAAGTAAACAGCAGATCGCCCCTAGAGTAGATAACTGATGTCAAGTTCCGTTAGATTTGAAATAGACGGCGTCTAGAAAGTTGTGTCACGTGTTGGTGTGTTGCAATTGGTAGAGTAAACAGGAACTTATAGACACATACGGAATATGTAAGTGGTTAGTGCGGAAATGCAAGCACAGGCACGTGTGCGGATGTGATAAGCCGGAGGTACCTAAAAACGTTCTGGTAGGGTGGCGGTAAACTCGCTTGTTTCAAGTCAGATGACCAAAGTTCAATTCTCATCCAAGGGCCTTTGATACGTATGACTGTGAAGGAAATACCCTAAACGAACGAAATGGGTTGTACGAAGTGCCTGAGGAGATTTAGTCATCCAAAACGGTGGATCACAATATCCTCAAGAGCTTATGCTTTTTTGCGTAAGACAGAGGACACCCACACATATCACTGGGACAAGCAAACTAAACAAACCGAGTTAGGCGTCAGTGCAACAAAATAAGAACTAGACACTGGTCAGTTCTTAGGCGCACATTATGCACGATCTTCAAGGGTCACGCAATTTGGGTACGGCAAAACTGTCACAGAAAACTCACGGCCTTCACATTCTTATTGTCCTAAACCTCCAATAATTTGTGCAAACATTAGGAAAGCTAACAAGAACCAAGTGGAAACGAGGGTGTGAAATAAAGAGGGTAACGTGGACATAATGAAGCGGGATCACAGGTATCGCAGTATTCACCCAGTTATTCGTGTTCAGCTAAAAATCGGTAACTGAAAGTAAATAGCAAACGAGAGGAAAAGCTCTGTCAACCAACTACCACGACTACATCGAGAAAAGGTTAAGGTGCTAACTTACTAACCGGAAGGTTTGTGGCTAGAAACCATACCTCAGCATCTCGACTACTCCTGTTTAGCCTTGTGCAACCTGGCAGTATCTTAGCCCCAGTGCTTCCTTCGGGTGGCATGTTAGATACGCACAGAATGGCTGAATGATTACCATGAGAATTTTAAAGGCCCAAATAATCCCGCAACCGTAAAATAGCACTGAAGCAACTCACCTCATTTGTATATCATTTGTCCAAAGACGGACGGTAGTGTCTGCTGAGGCGGTAGCAACAAATTTGCGATAAGGAGTGACTTCCCAAATACCATCACGATGTGCATTTATTCGATTCAGAAGCTGCCAAGTTCCACCATGACCGGCAAACGAACCTGTGACAACGGCGGACGCTTGTGAGCCGGAGCCTGTCATTGGAAGGGCGCAGGTAGTCGAGGAGGTAGAAGTAGCAGCACCGACACTCGGTTGGGGAATCCCCGCAGATGTCAAAGGCCCTGGTGCGGAACCGGAGGGAAGAAGACTGCTTCCAGGAGGTCCACCGACGTTGGAATGTCCAGTGGATTGACGCAAACTTGAGACTAAGCGCGAAGTTGACTGTTTATATTGCTGCTTGATCCGCTGTGAAAGCATGCTCGCACCCACTGAACAAAACCAGAAACACACATGGCTCTAGTTAAATTTGAGTAGATGGTATCAGCAAACTGACAAAGTGGTCCTGCAAACAAAAACACGCAAGAAATCCGGTGTGCTATGCAAGGACCAAAGCAGAAGACTTCATCGCACTTAGATTGCTGACTTCTAAGAACAGGTTTTCAACACGGCATGCAGGACGCACACATTGCATGATGGTGCTGCACAAAACAACAATCTAAGCAAAGCACAAATAGTATGTGTGGAGGGTGAGCACAGTAAGTGTTGGTGAAAGCATTTACTGCAAGTATGGGTGAATGTGTGCCGAAGGCCGTGTCGATTAGGGGGTGAGCATGCCAATAACCGATTGGCTACACTCGAACGAGATGCTATCATAAGAGCCGGAAAACGCGGCAACCATATGATTTAACGCCTAGTTATGCGTATTGTTTGAGCGAACTTGCATCGGACGACCCAAACATCATCAGAAACTTCTGTTTGTTTCTGGTCAATGTTTTCTGCGGAGCAATCTCCTCATGGAATACGGTGCCATCACGCGAATAACAGTCCTCCTGCGTCAGTTGTGAGAACAGCGTCACATTATGCACAGGTAAAACATTCCAATCTTTTCCGTACCAATCGCGGTCCTCATTTACTCAATCAATCACCCTGTTAGCTGTTCAGGAATGGAAGTGATCTGGGTAGATCTATCGTCATCTCCCAAGCCTTCCAGAAATTTTCACCTTGGAGATAGTCACGAACAGGCCTCAGTGCAATCTCATGTAAAAGTACAGGTTATACTAACGAAATACACTCATCTGTAAACCAATTTGGTTTTGCGGGAGACTCATCTGGAACCCAGCTGAATTTCTCGTTTAAGATGTTTCAGTTGGTATGATATCCGAGATTCGCGATACATGTATGGACATCATAAAGGAGAGATTCAGCTGGGTTCCCGGTAAGTCTCTCAAAAAACCAAATTAGTTCACAAATGAGTGTAGTTCGCTAATTTCATGCAATTAGGTCTCAAGTAGCACATGAGGTTGACGGACTGCGCTTACCTGATGACGCCCCAGAAAAGCGAAACCGATCGTGGGCTTTCGACGAACTTTCAGTAACCTTATGCTTATGACTAGTCTATTACATCTATACAGACTATACTTATTTTCTATACGACTCACCAGAGACGGTTGCGGATAATCTGTTTACATTCATCCTCGCCACAACAAAACAGAAATTATTCATGGGAAGCGATTGTAACGGACGCAGGTCCTTTGACTCCGAGTAGCACAGTGAACTCACTAGCGACCGTAAGGCCGCTAAAACGACAGATAAAGAAAAGCCAAACGACATTTAAATCTGCTACATTCTATCTCAACTTTTTTCTAGCATACATTTGAGATGAACCCTTTGACAGCTCACGTACTCAAAGAATCAGTCACGCAACTCTTTGACCAAGCCAATGTTCACCGCCATGACCCCAACTGGATAGTGTGCACATTCAAATGACTTCTGAGTGACGGTCATGCAGGAGGTCCGCCGAGCAACCCAAATACATTCACTTCCCCACATAAAGAACAGTCTCCCATAAGGACTAATTCCACTTCACAACACCTACTAGCTGATTGCGCACAGGCGTTGCGCATAAATGCAGAACACAAGTGCGTAGGTACAATGTGGGACAGTGCCGTGGTACATTAGCTGGTACCGAATTCTTCCAGTAAATGACAGGTCACTGGTTCTGGTCCCGCCCCCAGCGTCTGTCACATTTCTGTATTACCTATAGATGAGTTCATACTTATGAGTAGCCAGATTCACGTCTCTCCCACATAAATAAATTGGGAGCCACAGTAGTGCGCCCCACAAATTGACGAGTGATGACCCCAGAAGCCCTGAAATAGCAGCTGAACACTAAAGCATACGGGTGTCCGGGAGGCAACGGGTGTTCTCAAACACGATGCGGCGCTGGTCGATTAGCAACCCAACACCGGATCATGGAGCATAGATGAACGCAAGGACGTGAGGGGAGATACATCAGGCGCATGTGCAGGTTAACCACACTAACGCTACGCCATCCGTGAAACAAAAAGGGGTGTCAGACATCACCGTGGAGCTTATGAATCCAGCCACCAGCACAAAGTTCCAAACATGAGACGACTGTGAAGTTCTTAACTGACTAGAATAGACATTACCACTCGCATAACAGGGAAGTCAAATAATCCCTCCACAGAAAGATGTCAATGATAGTTATTTAAAGCGGAAATCAAAGCAAACTCACATTTCTTCGCGAAAGGAGTCGATTCAGAATGGTCACCGTCTTCAAATTTCTCCAGACGTTCTTGTACTGATCGTGAGGGAACAACAAAGAAAGCCATCTACATCAAGGTGGAGATATGTTGAAATGGGAAAATGGTTATAAAAAACATCTTGAGCATCACGTAACGTACACTTACACATGCTATACAGTGTACAGCCGTTGGGACAATACATTGTGTGCAACAAAACATGATCCAGTGACAATAAGGCAGACTGCATCACTTTGTGTGCAACAAAACATGATCCAGTGACAATAAGGCAGACTGCATCACTTTGAAAAAAACGTCAGAGAACCTCATGATCGTCTACCTATCCCACCTGAACGATTATGCAATCAAGACCTCAACTTGGATGGATTCGCAATCCAGGAAAACTGATGAATTTTTACTCGAGACATCAAGGGTATGCGCTTACGTTCATATGGTCAAAGTCTGTTCAGTTTACTTCAACTAAGTCTGAAAATTGTGAATCATATTCGTATACACAGCCATTGATGGGGTGGAAATCTGATACACCAACCACGCAGACGACATCTAGCAGTACGGTAGGGCCGCTTGTTATGCCTCACGTACTCTGTCACCGGGTCCTGGGTTGACAACCTTGCTTTCATTCGGAACCTACCTTAGCAAACAGAGCACGATAAGGCCATACAAAGCGTATGACCGCATACTTATTTAGCGCAGCTGATTGACAAAACGTTGATTTATTGCAACATCATCCGCTACATTATACAAGTCAGACCATATGTTCCCGTACTCTATACGCAATGTTTAGAATACACTAGTGGGAAAACGAAAAGCAGCCTTATTTTCCCTGCCAGTATAGTGTCAAGCACCATAGCCGGAAAGCGACAATGTACTCAGTATTGTGTCGCGGATCTCGACCTTCATAGGTAGGTTGACGTAGACTCTAGAGGAAAATAAAAGCGGAGCAGACTTAGGCGGAAATATCGCCATCTGATGCTCAAAGCAATGCATATCACCCAATATATATCGCTCAAGCATGAGCAAGTTCACCTGTTCAAACAAGATAATTATAGAGCCTAGAGCGCACGCCAGTGCAGTAGTGACAACACACTCACTCCGCGTATCAGATACACAGTTTTGAATGCGGCAGGGCCGATGATATGCAGTTCAGATGAGTTCTAATAAGAGCGAAACTTGACTGCAGTTGTTCCCCCTCTGGTGCGCCTGAGAAGCACCGGGCGCGCAAGTCACCAACGTAAACATGGCAAAGCCCTCACTGAAGTATCAGGTGAAGCGCTTGAGTAGGCTATTCCTGTGTCTTCTCTGAATCCTGGTCAACACCCATACAATTCTGCCGTCATACTACGAGGTGACGATGCCAGCAGCAATCCGACCACAGGTTCCATAACAAGCCATCCACTACCACATAAATGGCGCGAAAATGGGTATTCTCTAGAGAGCGGCATCCAGGTGAAACTTGCATAAATTGACGGATCCGGTCAGTGTCCGGTGGTGGAAGAACTAATGCCGGTGCTCAGTATTATGCCAACATGATCATGCTGGCTGATGGCTCTTAACAAGCTTTTGTTTTTGCCCACCGGTTTTATTCCCTCGGGTTTACATCGTCATCAGAGGTTTGCCGCAGCACCTGTCCTTCTCAAACGTCAAAGTCTACGTACATGTAAGAATGATCAAGTGCCTACGAACAGAGGAACACGTACCTATGTTCCACACTCTGGATATCCCTCTGTTCTCGTAGAATGAAAAAGAAACCGGTCACTCTTAGATTCACCTCTTTTCTTTGACCCTTTCGGTGCCTAGGTCGGTGCCCAGATCGCCCAAGCCTAGACATGAGAAGTCGAAATTCAGAGGCCGGGTTTGAACCGCGGACCTTCCGGTCAGTAAATTCACGTTCTAACGACTGATCCATCTCACCCCCTCTTTTCCCGTAGTTTACTCCGTCTGGTCAAAATACTTTACCTTACCATCTGTCGCAGGATAAGGGCACCTTGATTTGCAAGCCAGGGGACGAGACTAACCAATAGACTAACCAACAGACATGGTCGTGTCACGCAGTCAGTGGTGGTTTTGCATCAAAGCTATCGCCTTCACCAAGCAGATCTCAAGCCCAGCCATACCGGTTAAACAGAACCATTTGACATCAATGGACTGATTAGATCATTGCTCCTAATGTGTGATACTCATTCCCTTGTTCTCCTTATCCTCCTTGAACTAAGATAAAGCAGCTGGAAGCACTGCACTTCAGTGAATGGTACGTGAGCCGAAAAAACTAAACTAAACTGAACTGAACCCTCCAGGGCTCTATCCCTCAAACCTATTAAATAAGTATTCCGTTACGCCCATTCGACCGGATAACTTTATTCTGATTCCGGTCAGAAAGCAGGTCACCGATTTATTTAGCATTCTAATAGTGCTCACTTGTGTTGGTTTGCGCTTAAAAGCGTATTCTGGAAAGTGTTGTCATATTTAGGTACATGGGAAAACATTGAAAGCACCACTCGCACCACTTGCCCAGATAGTAATAGTTATAGTAATAGTTATAGTAATAGTTATGGTTGTCCCTATCTACAGGCCAGTCCAGGGAAGCTACCCAAATCACCCTCTGAACATGGTCTCTTCTGGAAGAGTATGATAGATATGCAGCGTCATGAGACTAACTAAAGGAGGCCCCTCTGCTAAGCGGTAGTCTCTTCAGATAAAGACAACTGCTCACTATGTGCAAAAGATTAAATGATAATTCGCAGTTTTCTTTAAAAACATAAAATCGTCGCACGATATGCCTCCCCATGAAATTAATCTATCCAGGCTCAGAATGACGACGACCAGCTCTTCTAGCGCATTACGCCGTATCCCAGTGGTTTTACAGCAAGGTTGGATCGTGTTAAGAGCCGTATTTATCATTTTGCTAACTAAATAAATGCATACCAAAAGCACTATGCAAAACTCTGTCGATTGGTCATACGCACTCGTGTCGACAAGCAAATGTCGCGCCCGAAAACAGAAACAACCTACGGGCAAGATTTTCTCCGTAAAGTCGTCGGTATTCACGTTCGAACTCATGCTCAATCCGAGTGAAGTACTTATGCAAGCGTTGACGAAACTCTCGAGGCAAGACAGAATCTTTGGGTCCGGCGTATTCACCAGAAATGTGCCAGGCTGTGAGTTCTGCTGCTGACTCTGCTGCAGAATTCATGTTGGGCACGGTGGAACACTGAGTGATACCGGAGGTGGACATGTGAAAAGAAGTTACATCATTCGGGGATTCGGTGTCTGCAGGCAACGGCACGTGTGTCGTTGCGGACATTCTGAAGATGGGGTATCACAGACCTCAGCTGAAAAGAATGAACTTTGTTGAATACATACGGCAAGAAAGACGTTTGCGCGAAGGACGAAGGTCAAGTCAACTGTGAGTTAAACTACCGACTCCATGCAGTCGCTCAGTCATCAAAGCGAACAGTTTCCATGTTTTCAACTGGTATAAAAATGTGTGTAGAAAACGATTGATTACCGGACAAACAAACGTGGTTCACACAGAATAAATACATAAGGATAAAAGGAATCACAATAACACGTCACTGGTGATGGGAAAGCCCGAAAGCACGAAACCAAGAGTGCGCATCATTGAGGGACTTCAGACGCTTTCCCATCAGTTGTGGATACCGTCGGGTTACCCACTAGAATACTTTCATAAGTTATATATGAAGCAAAGTTTGAAAAGTCCTGTACGTTTGGCAACCAAGGAATCCAGGCATCATCACACAGCCTTGATATCTGTGTGTAAGGTAAGGCTGCCGCCAAGTCTCGCGGCCATACAACAACTCAACCCGTACTGTAGTCACATATACGTGTCCTTTTAGGCTAAGTGATATACCTTTTTGAGACACCCGTGACAAAAACTGAGTAAAATAATTCTGGTCTTTGGGATTCGTGCGTTGGCTTCATCCGTCACACTATCGCCGGAGCTAATGCGACTTTCAGGACACATACAATGCTCCAAAACCTCCAATATCACCCCTTGAATTATCAGAGGTATGTTCAAATTCTGCACGCCCTGCAACATGACTTTGAACTCTGTGAGCGTGAAGCACATGGCGAAGGACTGTGCGGCCTCGGACGGAATTTCTAGCATTGCTTTCGCTTTGTGCATTTCTTCATAGGTAAGAACAATGTCGTCCGCATATTCCAGGTCGACAAGGTTCCCAATAACCTCGATAACTTCAATAACTTCTAGTGTTCGCTTCCACATCTCATCAGTGATAGAACCGAACAAAAATGGAAGATTGTAGGTCACTTATATGCACGCAGTTGCTATAACACTTGTCGGAGTGTGAAGAGGTGGTCCACAAAGTCACTTCCCCGTAGAAATCCTGCTTGTTGCTCTGGTCCCATTTTCATGTGCTTTCGTAAGGCGATATAGAATAAGCGATGCAGTCTGGTCACATCGGGAGTCAGGCTAATTTCTCTGTGATTGCTACACGCTCCGTGACACCAATCTTGGAAATGTGTGCCACCATCGAGTCACGCCAGTTGGTTGGAATGGTCAAGATGGAGACAAGCTCCGGCTGAGGATTTCAGCTCAATCTTTAAACAGGGCGGGTGAGAGTTCGATGGGACCAGCAGCTCGGTGATGCTTGGGGGAGAAGACGTCGGGGTTTCCAAGTTCACTGTCTATGGCTGCGTTGCAGGTCGGAAATACGGCTGTGCAGCTGCACATGGTGATTTGAGTTGTTGTTGCAAGTGCCCAACAAAACAAATCCGGCGTTCTTCCTTGAACATAGGCAAGCCGTTCTTATTAATGATAGTTTCGCTCACCTGAAGCCTATTTGGGCCTGTTGCGCGTAGCGGCTGGAACAGTTCATGCACATCCCCAGACTTTTTTGGCATCCTCCATCTTTTCCAATTCATGGGTTCACAAAGCTTCTCGATCTACTCATATGCTCTTTTTCACTTGAAATCTATGAGTTCGTGTAGATTTTACTCTCCGCCAGGAGGAATACGAATCCGAGCTTCGAGCAGTTTCAGTGTTACTCGAGATACAGCCTTCGAACCTATTTGGCTGCACCATCCCCAAGCGGAGTCCTCAGCATCTTGTAGAGTTGCAAACAGTACCCTCCAATGAGGGTCAACATCAAAAGACGCCTTATCGGAAATGGACTTGAGTGGGTGTTTTGGTATACTTGTTTCACACCAGGGACCGAGAGCTTCTCAATGAGGTGTGCGGACCTTGCACACCCTGAAAAGTGTAGCGAAATGCAGCTACGAACGAGCGCGTAGTCCAAATCCAGAAGGTGTGGCCAAGCAGCATAGGTTGTACCACAGAAACAGTCTGCGGCCAGCACACCACAGCGACACACTTTCTCCGTTGTCCGCGCGTCTTGTACAATACGAAGACCCAAGTGGGAATCAGTGGCGTTACGTTTATCTATGTGGGCAACCGACATCCACAAAAAATCAGCCAGTTGCACTAGAGTTTCGATGCCTAGCTCTCATGTCGCGTGAAGGGAAGACAAGGGCTGAAACGCAGCCAGGTTGTCCAACCATCCGTGATGCCGGGGTTGCGTTCGAACTGCGGAGCTTCAGAACACTGAGCTACCTCAACAACATCCAAGCTCTTGGCCCACCGTAACAAGGCGCTCAAAGAGGCGGAAAAGCTAAGTTTGAGTGTATCAGAGCTAATCTGTTGGAGCGTAAGCAGATACGATGAACAGGCAACGATTTTCGGTGCATTTACGGGGAATTGTCACAGGGGTTACCAAACAAACTGCACAGAGGCGACCATCAACGGGCAACCATTCAAACAGAGACCCTTCAGTTGTGGCTTAGAACAATGCCAACTACAGCAAAACCAGCTGCAGGGGCGTTTATATGACCAGAAGTGCGCAACCAGAAGCGAGCCGAAGGCGGTGGAAAGGTCAGTTCAACAACTGCACTTGGAGACTGAATCTTCATCTCAGAAACAGCACACATCAATGGAAAGCAAGTCCAGCGTACATGCGGGAGCGGTCTGTTGTCCAGCCCATTTCAGAATGCGAACGTTAGACGATGCTAGGTGAACTGGGGGTCGGGGGTTAAAGGAAGCCTTTGAAGTGTCTGTGGCCACGGTGGCTGAGACAACCGTAGGTATTATTGCTAACGAAGATTGGTGGTGAACGGCTGTGTCAGTCCTTGAGAATGGGCCTGCGGGGATGTAAGTTACAACGAGGTAAGGTAGACAAGAGCGAACGTAATAGCGATGGTTCAGTCGCAGCAACCTTTCTGTACCCAGCTGCTATGCCACCCGAAGGAGGTGCAGATGAATGTGAAAAAATGGGGATTATGGGCAGTAGCCTGTTTTAATATCTCTCCCCTGTTGTGTGAAGCAAGGAAGGCGACCCGGCTGATGGCACCACGCGGCGGCCGATGAAGCATGAGATTATTGGTGTGTGGAGTTCATGGTTGTACGTGGGCTGGGACAATGCCAGGGCACCCACGCCTAGACAGAAGAAAGATTAGGGTCCTCAACCAAGGCCTTTAGCTTAAAAGGTTAACCGCAAGACAGCGGTGGTTCGCGTAAGAGTAGCCTACATTTTTTGGGGGGAAATTTTCACACATCTCCCTAATCCCAACCTGAACCGTTAGTCAGATCTCTATCGATTGGTTAACCTCATATGAGGGACTCTGTGAGTGTCACACGTACACTCCCAAATGCAGCTCAATGGGTCCGATGGCTTCGTGACGGTTTTTACACACTTGTAAGTAAACGCTAGGATAAGGTCTCTAAAAATAGCAAGGTCATTCAGCTGTAGCACCCCTTCGGTGCCTAACTGTCATGCTACCCGAAGGTTGCACGAGAGTTGGGATACTGCAAGGTTGCCCAAGCCTAGACAGGGTAAGTCGAGAGGCAGAGGTCGGATTCGAACCACGAACCTTTCGGTCAGTAAATTCGCGTTCTAACCACTTGGGCCATCTCGTTCCTAAATTAAAATAGCGAACGTATTTGGTCAGCAAATAGTGTGGACAACCGATTTCCGATGCCACGCGCGCGACCCAAAACTGCGTCACTACAGAGACCTGTTCTGATTCTTTGAATACCTACTCTACAGACAATCCCCTCTGAAAGCAACCAATGCGATATCTCATTAAGTTCAAAAGTGTGCTGTGCTTTTGGTTGGTATCCGCTCATGCGGCATGGCGAACGTTGAAGACTCAATAGTGCAGAAAAACCCATGCCACAGAGTGGCTGAAAAAGCGGCATGTCACGGACATTTACCTTGTTTGTATTAGAGTTTGCTGTCGAAAAATATACCATCGTCTTTGTTTACGCCGGAGCATATTTGGCAGTGTATCAGAGCACAAGAAGTTGGCTCGTAAAACCGTCAAGAGAACGAGAGAATCAAGTAAAACGGTCAAAATGTACGACAATGGTTATTGTAGTGAAATAAAATGATGGAACAAACGCCCACAAATGTTAAACTACGACCTTCCAACGCACAACTAACTTACAACCAATCCATAAGTACGCTGGGTTTCCCGGTTCGATACATGACTACAACCGCAAGCCCACACAGTAAGCAATCTGGGTCCCATTCCCTGATGTATCTCCAGCTCGACGAAGGGAGAAAAACTGAAATAATAGTGCCCAGAAGAGTGTCAGATTTCACAGGAACAAGACTGAAGACAACTTCACAAAACTGACAACTGGGGACAACAGTCTGTTTAAAAATATACAGCCGATAAGGAGTTACAAAAGCATGCCCAGTGAGCCGAAAGATTTTATTTCTTGAAAATTTGCAAGCTTTGTACGTATGAATCAAGCATACTGGTAAATAGTTGACTGTCAACAGATTCAGCCGACACGCAAAACGGATTCTGGGAAACAAATTTTGTGTAGATGCGAAACACGGTTTCCAGTTCCTCATGTACAGGGGCACAAGCATTGTCTGTATTGAGAACAATTTTAATCATTGTGGGAGACTCGTAAAAATGCAGTCGGTAGGTATTCGTTGAGTAGGAAAACTGAGTAACAGACGTTTCAGATGGGGAAATCTTTCCAATAAACCGCTTCAGACCGATTAGCATACCATGCAGCAGCTTTGTTTCGTTTTCTGATGGCTTCTCCCCTTGTTTGGTTTTTGTCCACTCATGATAGTAGACACATACACCGCGCTGATCAAAGATGTATAGGTTGAAAACTGTCATAATGAAACCTAAAATAGAAAGTTGACAGAAATGATTGATATTCGGTGGCCTCATAAATGGAAACTAAGCCACCCATCCGTTTTCGTTATCCTAGAGATCAACATCTTGACGTGGTGGGTGGGCTTCGGTAAAGCGGTGGGATATGGTGGCTGTGCTTCATTCAGGTCAGCTAAATTGCCATGTTCTACATTCGGTGTACCTTCCTTCCCTACTCTAGCTCGGGCCCGGTGTGTTCAAGTATAGAAGACTGAATAGCACGAGGAATAATATTGCCAATCTGAAAAACGGAGAACAGAGGCAAGACGCCTAGTAGCACACAAGTAATCATAGGTGGGTGGACCGTTGACCCAAAAACAGGACAACAGATCAACCAACAGAATAGAGAGAATCGAGTTCGCTCTCACAACACAACTGCATGAAATATAAAGTATCCAAAGACACTAGACCCAAGGCAGTCGAACAATGAGTCCACTAGCCACTAGATGACCTCTACTATAGATAATCACATCAGAAAGCCTGCGACTGGCCTGTCCTACATGTAGCTCACTGACAACCAGTCCACGATGTCGGAAATATCAAACGACAGTATGCAGGTGCCGAGCGCTTGAGGACAGGCAAATTGCTTTTGATGGATATTTTTTCTTGCTCTACTCAAAATTTTCTACTGTAAAGGGAGGCTTTGTTCCAGCGCAGGATTCCTGTTGAGTCTCGAAGAACTCGGCCTTGCGGAGCGTTGACACGTATGAAATTCGGTCGAATACTTCCTCAAAGTTCAGAAATGGCACCTGATATAAGTCCTCCATCTCCGGCTTGTCAATGAATACGACAGATTCGATTAACTATCTTGAAAGAATCCGCGTTGAGCTGAGGATATTAGGTTGCTAGTAATATGATTTATAACGGCTCACTTCAGGATTCGTCCATCACCCTGCACAGAATTTCAGTGAGGCTAATTAGCCGCGGTTGACGGGCAACAAGTGGCCATCACTGGCAATAGCTTTCTCCTAAGCGGAAGAAAGTTCGTTTTCGTCCAACGTTTGGCCAAAAATTAGGCGAAGTGTTTAGCCATGGCGCATGGTGGGTAATGGAAAACAACCGGAGAGGGAAGGG